GTACGAAGCCTTTGTACGAACAAAAGTAAGAGAAATTTAGGAGAAGAATACGAACACGTTCTTGCATGAGGCCCATTGAAGGAATAAATATAAAGTTGTGGCTTCTTGACAACAACTGGGATGGTGGGGGTGGGGGGGTGTTTGCACTTCAACTCGCCTAGGGCACCAAAATCTGTGGAGCTTCATCAACCTTCTGCTGGAACAGCTGAATTATTCCTGTTAAAAGTAAAACAACATGTTGCTTTGTTATATTCTTTTTATTAAATATCTATTTGACCTTTGACCCTCGTCAGCACCTTCAGAATATATCTCAGTTAAATATCCATATTTGTGACTGTTTTTGTATAAAACAATGAGTGCTGAGCCGTTTCTGCAGCTCTGATGTATTTTTTCACTCATGCTTTTCTTTTCTCTCTTATATCTAAATGTATAAAACATTTCATAACGTGTAAGAAACGAGACACGATTAAATAAAGATTGAAATAATCTATGTTAAAATGGAAACTCTTTACTGAGCTTTCAGCAGGTTCAAAGAGAAATAATCTATGAAACACTTGTTTACCCTGGCAGTGAATCATCACCTCTACAGAAACATGAGTCGGAGCAGCAGGAGGTTTTATTGGACCAGCAGGCTGAAAGCTTCTGAAACATCTGACCTGCTGGGATCAGATGAAAAAAGCAAATAAGTAAAAAAAACTCCTGCAGTCATGATGCTGAGGAGAGATAAGAAAAGTAGCTAAACCAGGTTCAGCTGCTTGTTGAAGCCTTCAAGGTTAAAAATCAGTTAATTGTAATCATACAGGAAACTAATTGTGTTTTTACTGAGGAATTAAAATGTTGATACAGAGTCTCCTGATCAGATAAAAACTTAATTTCACTCTGGAAATGTTCAGCTGCTTTAACCTTTTCAGACGTTTGTTTTCTGCTTGTCATGAAATGTCACATTGATCTGTTAATGATGAACAAAACTGCACAAAATGTCTGCGTTGAACCCACAGCCGAAGCAGAGGGAGTCGCTGCAAAACACAAAGCTAAAAGAAAAGAAAATACAGAACTGAGTTTGTGCCTCAGTTGGTGTAAAATGTTAAATTAAACAAACAAAAAGAAAAACTCACTATCTGCAAAAATGTGTGCTAAAGAAGCTGAAAGCCAAATGTAGAAAAATGCTATAGCTAAAAATAGCCAAACATTAGCTTAAAGTAGCCTACCATCCATCCATCCATTTTCTGTACACGCTTCTTCCTTTTCAGGGTCGTGTGGGTCACTGGTGCCCATATCCTACTGAAAAGGTAAATGCAGCAAAACACTTAAAAGTACAAGCCTAATGCTAATTAGAAGTAARAAAATGCTAGCTAAGAATTAAAACTACCAAACCAACAGCTAAATGTGGCAAACACTAGCTGTTGCATGGCATTTTGCTATTTTTTAACTTTTAGCCAGGTTTTGCCACTAAAAGTACTAATATGCTAAAAGGGGCAGAACAGTAGGCTACCTAAAAGCTCAAAACAACAGATAGCTAAAAGTAGCAAAAAAAAAAGGGGGGGGGGG